ATTGGATGTGCCGTTGGTTTGGGGAGCTTATCGCTGGCGTTTTGTTCAAATGACGGGCCCATTTGATAAAAATATCCGTGGATCGCGAGCAGGGTGTTGCTTTTATGCGCACTGCGCTATTGAATAAAGATTATTTTTTATTGATATCATCGATTTATGGAATGATAAAGCATAGCCGCTGCTGTCCTTAGTTACTTAATTTCGAGATTCGTCCGTAAACCGCTGTTTGGGAAATCATTAAACCTGACAGCCGCAGTACCGGCTCCAGGATTTCAAGCATCATGCAAAACTTCGTATTTTGGTGGAATTTATCTTGAAGATTCAATTCAGTAGTTTTGTTACTTCTATTTCAGTAATGAAATTTTAACTCTAAATTTTAACATTAGCTATCTTCGCAACGTAATAAATGATAATCAACCTAATAATAATAATCAACCAACCTAATAATAATAATAATCAATATCCTAATAATTATAATCTCAGATAATTTGCAAGTGATTTTCAAGATATACGCAGATGTTTCGCCAGCACCCAGTGTTCCGCACTTTGTCTGACTCAAGTAAGAAATATAGTTTTCTGTATTGATACATATCGCCGCACAAGACTCCATTAAGTTATAAATATAATTCACAATATCTTCACCAGCTTTTCAACCGCCGGTGCGAAATGTGCGCATGATGGTTAGGCGTAGTTTGATCTAACGACCCTCATTCATTAATTATAATGAAAATCATTCAATTATCCCTAGTGACCGATTAGTCTACTGATACGATTGCGGTGGTCAATGTTATTCATACGTAAAATCTTGCTAATGAGTAACGTGCAGTGAGCTGACAAAGAGGTACACATTTATGTACAAATTAACAGTCGCTAATGATATTCGTACCCGACGGCCTTGTACCAAGAGTTGACCGAGACAAGGAGTTGTTAAACATTAGACTATGTTTTAATGAACGCCGATTTTATAATTCGTAGAATTTTTACAGCTAGCTAGCTTTCGACCACGTAACTTACTGTATTAATAATCTTGACCACTCGGCTACCCCGTTGATGACAGTGAAGAGTATAGTGATAAATTAGCCGTCCATATGCTATTTGTACGTAGAGGCCTTGTAACGAGAGTTGCCTTCAGTAGTTCCTTCACCCACTTGATAGGTACCTTCACCCACTTTATTACTCACACCCATTCAATCACACCCGCTTATAGTTGTTCCATCATCCATTTAATCACACCCATCTATAACGGCTTAATTCATCTATAACCGATCTTTTCAGGGTATATTAATGAATGTTGTCGATAACATTAATTTTACTGCGACTCTATCCTTGGTATTCTTTTTCTTGCTATTTACATATTTCACATCTGCAACGGGATCTAAAAATGCATAATTTTAATATACTTACATACCACTATTCAAAATTAACTTGACTAGGGTGTCTATAATATGATATATGCAGTAATAATGCAATGATTAAACAATAAAGTTCAGTGTAACTTTTAATGGAACTAATTCTATAAATGAAGTTAGGCGGCGTGTTGTGCAACGCGCGATGCAAATCATTGTTTGGGGTTCACTCGTTTTTGTTCATAATTGGTAATTTACATGCAAATTGCGGCCGAGACTGCCAGAGATTTGCTGTGCTGCAATAATTGTGCAAGCGTGGCTTGAAATTAAATCATTGCTGTGGGAAATGAGGAGATGTCATCCGCTCTTCATTTAACTTTTTAGTGACTTATTAATTCTACAGTTGGGACAAGAGGAGTGGAATTGATTATTGTTTTCGAATAAATTTTTATTGTCTGGCTAATCATTCAATTCATGTGGTAACAACGTTGCAGGATAGATGAAAAATTGATTTGCCTCGAGTGGAGTGGAGCTTGCAGCGGGACAATGGAGAGTTCAACTTGAGTGACGTGTCCTTGGGGAAAAAATTGCTTAACAAATGTTCCATTTTTCAATTGAGTTTGAAAAATGTTCAGCACGAAACGTTTCGTTTGATGTACGTTAAGTGTGTCAAACATTACCGTTTTATTAGTGTTAGCGGGCAGCAACAACGCCGCTCCTGCAACACACTAAACTCGCCTCTCCTGCAACACACTAAACTCGCCTCTCCTGCAACACACTAAACTCGCCTCTCCTGCAACACACTAAACTCGCCGCTCCTGCAACACACTAAACTCGCCTCTCCTGCAACACACTAAACTCGCCGCTCCTGCAACACACTAAACTCGCCGCTCCTGCAACAC